GAAATTGGAGTTGATGCGTTATGTCCAAGCAGGAGGATTGCCAACATTACGGGAGATGGCACACGAATCTGGCATGACGCCATTGGGATGGTTGTATCATCTCGTGGGAATACGAGCGGCACCAGGTACAGTACAACCATTGGGTGTGATGCATCACCAGATGGGGGTCCACAGACCGCGCGGGCAGGTTGGGCACCTGCAACCCGGTGCGTTACACCACCAGGCAGGGACTATTGGGGCACAGGGGCAGGGAATGCAGCTACAGTCAAGTGCATTACAACAGAGCGGAATGCAGTGTGTGCAGGTGCAGGGTGTGCAGTTACAGGCAGGGGTCTTTCAATAGCGGTTGCAATCGTGCCGGCACAGGGACCAATCATTAACAATAATGATGATTATTGTTGTAATCGTATGCCTTACCACCCTGCTCCGAACCGGGCTCCCGATTCTTTCCCGACTCCGGCTCCCGACCCCAGCGGGCCCACCGCGCATGTTTCCCCAATTTGGCTTCAGCCCAACTCCGGCTCCCAACCTTTCTACTTCTCCCACTGATCAGCTTGATTGCAGTGCTCCCAATCTGTCTTTGACACCTGCTCGCGACCCCAGATTTCGTATTTTAGGTACCAGCATAGATGGTCACACCTCCCACCATCTCGTGCACCCTAGCCGTGCCCGGCGCTTTCGAGTAGGATGTTTGCAAGGTGGTTTGTGTTTCATCAGGGGTAAATTGTTCGAATGTCTGTCCGCGCGCAGCCCCTCTTTTCTTCTTCGTGGCATTCGAGCGCGGAGTTGTAGATCTAAATGGGACATGTATCCAAATATTGATTTACAGGATTTCCCCATTTGCAGGGAAACGGATCGCAATAGCATCGAACCCTGGGCCCGATAGTCCGTTCGATCCACCACCAATTCTCTATTTTCTTGTCGGTCCGACTCCTGCTCCCGATCTAATTCCGACTCTACTTCCGACTCCGGCCCCTAGTCCGATTCGGAGCCCCCTGTCCGAGTCCATGGGGGGGCGGCTGGAGGAAGGGTCAAACCACCGACGCCAAGGGGGATTGACATCTGACTTCAATTATGGATCTGATTTCGGCGTCCGACCGTGTGGATTTATTGCCGACCTCGATTTCTAAACAACTCGCATTGACAAGACTTAACAACACATCATAAAAAAAAAACGGAGGCGGAATTCGAAACACGCTTCGGAATGTTCTGCCATTATCACACTATTTTGCGTGGCATAAGACTAGTTTTTGCCCTGCATGACTTGAAAAACTTGCTCGCGCTGCCGTCGCGTCGCCGCCGCAAGCGCGTTTCATTCAGCGAGTCGCCTCCCGACTCGCGGGAACCTGGGGTCGCCGATGGGGGCGCGAGGCTGGGCAGCGCGAAAGATGCGGCGAATCCTGGCCACCACCCTGTGCAGCAGCAAATGCATCGTCGCGTTCGCGCGGGCGCAGCCCGCTAGGACCCCTTGGTGCGAGGTGGCGCAACGTGAAATCGAACCGAAAGCCTGGGCAAAACGGGGTAAGACGGCACGGATAACAACATGCACGCCTTCCGTGAGAAATGCCCCAACATCTCGTCGATGAGATCCTGCGCCGGCATGTCGAAGTCAGGTGCTGTAGAACCCAGCGCCAGGTCTTCCTGGGAACCGCGGGCTCGCTCAGACACTAGCTAGAACACCTGCTCCCATTCCCGCACTCGCTGTGCGAACCCGAGGGGGAAGTACAGCTGCTTGGACAAGGTTCGTTACATTCACGCCATTCTCAGCATCATCCAGGGTGTATGCAATGTGGGTCATGCGAATCCTGACTGAACGGACGTGCCGCAACCGACAAGACACCACTTTCCAGTCCGCAAGCTTCGTGGGCATGTTGGGGCTGGGCTGCTTCGCGTCGATGCACTTCTACTGTGCGGGCCATCTCTGCCGTGCAGGCGCGCGCGGGCGCGGCGTTCGAGGGTGTCATTTCGGTCCCAAGTCTCAGCTTCCACCCGCGAGGTGACGGCGCCCCGACGCACTGCGGTTCGTCGGCCGTCGTAGCAGATGAAATGTCATTGCGGATCTGCTCCCGCTCGCGAACGGGGGGCATCTGCGGCGCCCGATCTTGGGCTTCACTGGAAGAGGCCTGGGCGTATTAAGTGCCCGGCAGCGCGTGCCGCGCGGGGCGGTGCCGACAGGTGGGGGCGCGGGGCGGCGCGTAATCAAACCTGTGGCCTCAATGACATTCGGAGCACCGGAAAATGGGATCTTGTGCTCAGCGACGTCGAAGAAATCCGAACGGCGCCAGGCAGCGCTTGGGCGCAAGCGGGCCCATTGCTGACAGCGCGTGCCCCTTGCACTGCGTCGGGCCAACTGTCCAGCACAAGGGCATCGGCATTCCAATCTCCGCCGACCAACCAACTGATGCCCGGCCCGCCAATCATCTGAAGCGCCGAAACAATGGGCTCCAGGACATCGACGTTCGCGCCCCTCAGGCCGATCCCAACCTGAAGGTGCGCACTCAGCGTCGCTGCGCCGCCGCGCCCACCCCCGACTGGGGCTTGGCAGCAGCCGCTCGGCCTGGGGCCACATCCTTCGCGATGGGCCCTGGCGGTTCGGATGCCAGGGGCCGAGATGGAGCCGAAGTGGCACCTCCACCAGACGTGCCGCCCTTGCCCGAGGAGCTAGCTGCATGCCGTGCTCCAGAATACCTAGCCTGGCGGACCCTTCGTCTGTGCGTCAGCATGCCTCGGCCCCGTGGCATTGTGCTCTTGGGCGAGGGCGATGGCGCCGTGAACGACCGTGGACGCGAGGAGGTCCACTTGTGGACCGTGGGAGGGCGCGTTGGCGGTCGCCACGCGCCCCTTCGCGTCGGGGCTACCAGCATTCCCCCCTGCGGATCCGACGCTTGCGCGACGGCGCCGAGCCTCGGTTGCCGCGTGAATCTGCCGCGCTAAGCCCTTCAGCATCAGCGGAGCCACGCGTGACATCGCAATTTCCAAATGCGCTGGCGGGGTCGCCCGAGCAGCGCCCGTCGCTCTGCTGCGCCACTGAGCCCGTCCACGGCGTTGCGTAGCCAGGCGAGTAAAATCTGCCGGCGCCGCCGCCAGCGGACCGCGCGCCCGCGCGGGGCGGGGGCTGGCCGACAGCGACCGACGACCGCGAAATAGACAGACTCGGTCGAGGACAAGCGCCTTCCACATCGCCTGCGAAAGGGCCTCGCACCAGCGGGTCCCTGGTAGCGCGCCGCCAGGGCGACCCCGACGGAGGCCCTCTGCGGCCCCGTTCCAGATGGCCACCAGGCGGTGGCCCTTCTGGACCACCTCTGCCACGACCCAGGGGAAGTCCACGACGCGCCAGGACGCCGCGTGGGAACGCGCCCGCAAGAGCGAGCGCCATGCACTGCCATCGCTGCCATGCGATCGGGCAATTTATCGCAGGCTGCCCGGGACTGCCAGAACCGCTGCCTGTGCCGTGGGCGGCGGGCCTCGCACCGTGCAGCTCCCGACTGTCTCCGCGGGCGCCCCTTCCCAGCGGGGCTGCTGCTGGCCCAGGGCAGAAAGGGGGCGCGGCCCGCGACGACCTGTGCGAAGCCGACGAGGCAATCGAGGGAAACCAGGTGCACCGGAGATCCCACAAAACCAAGAGCTGGCAGTGAGATCGCGCCGACGTCCTCGCCTTCTTGGCATGGCCTCCGACCGCCTCGCCGAGCCTCTTGATGGCTGCGTGCAACTCAGGCTCGTCAAGAGGCTCACCGCAATGAGCTGAGCGATAGGATTCCGGGAGGTCAGGCAGTTCAGCGTCGTCATATGGGAACGCTGGCCCAGCGAGGGCGCCAACATCAGGAACAGGCTTATTCGCGCGACCTCCAACGCCAGAGGCGTCGCTGGAGTCCTCTGCGTGTCGGGAACTCTGAACTGCCGCAGCTGCGTCAAGCTGGCTCAGGGCTGCGAAATTGCTCTGGATGCTGCCGGACAGGCTCGCATCGACGCTGAGGGGCTGCAACGTCTCCCCCAAGGCATCCGCGTCAATATGTCGATCCCCGAGATGACTGCGCGCAGCGAGTGCACGCCTTCCTGGGCCGAAGGGCCTGCGACGCCATGACGCGGCGCGCGGCCTCCGCTTCGACTAACTCCTTGACCGTTGAATCGACCACCTGCTGGGCCTCGCCAATGGACTTCTGAAGCTGGTCAGCTTGCTCACGGGGCTTCGCGAGATCGGGCCGCTCGCGGTCACGCTTCATCTCCAGAGCCGTGCCCTTGTGATCGCATGCAACTGGGCGCCGATAGGCTTGGCCCTGGCGCGCGCAGCCTTGAGCTTGGACTCGAACGCCCCCCTCGCCGCCACAATCTCAGGAAGTTTGGGATTCCCCAGGCTCTTGATGCCGTCGATGAGCTGGGCAACGTCATCCTGGTCTGGCCCGCGTCCATCCACGCCCATGGCGGCGCCGTCGCGCTGGGATGCCAAGGGCCCCTTGAGCTCTGCGATCTCTCGAACCTGCGCTACAAATTGTTTCTGAGCCTTGTCGCGCTCCTGGGCGGCGTGCCGATCGGCTGACTGCTTGACGGACATGGATGGGAGGCCTTCGACGAGGTTCCCGTAGAAGCACGCACCCTTCGAAACCTTCCATAGGGAACGACTCTTTGCACCAGCATGGTTCCACCACCGTTCACCCGTCCGATCGTGAAGGCACTACTTGCAGAGCTACGGTTGAGCTTTCTGCAATCTCTTCTTCTGAGAGCTATTCAATGCCATCAGGAGGCACCCGCTCGCGAACGGAAATTGGGCCGCCAGGGAGCCCGTGCACTACTGGCTAAAGACTGAAAGCTGGCTGCGGACAAGCGGTATTCACTTGTTGCGCAAGGAAACGCAAAACCTTGAGCCAAAATGGCTTGAGCCAAAATGGATATGGAAGGAGGAGGAGGCGCTGGAGGAGGCGGAGGAAAAGGAGGCTGAAGAGGAAGAGGAGGAGGAGGAAAAGGAGGCGGAGGAGGGGGAGGAGGAGGTGGAGGAGGAGGGGCTCCTGGTCTCCACAAAGGGAGGGATGAGGAGACAAAAAGGAAACATCGGATCGGCAGCTGCCGTGCAGTCCCCAGCGTCCTTTTCGTGCGCCACGAGAGCCGCCACTGTGCGGGTCCCCGCTCCGCCGAGTGCCCGGGCGCCCGCTCCAGCTGGCAGCGCGGCGGGGGGCGGCGGGGGGTGGTCTGAGAGATAGAAAGGTGCAGGCGGGAAACAACGGTTAAGACGAAACCGAAACGAGGATCAATTCGGTGAAGGAAGATCGAAAATCTGAGGTCTGGCGGTCTTCTCAAAGCGTTCTGGAACGCTTGGGGATCACAAAACCGTGTGGTGATCGACTGTGGTGACCTTGGAACCCCAAGAGACCTCACCGCACGGTCCGTCACCGTGCGTTCTTGGGGCCCTGGAGGCCCCAGTCGCCCGAGACATCCTCGGAGAACGACCCAAGTCTCAAAACCGTGCGGTAATCCCGAATCCCCACCGACTCACCATACGGTGTGGCCACCACCCCGTTTGGGTGCCCCTGAAACGCTCTGAAAGCGTTCCGGAGCGTTCTAGAACGCTCTGGAACGGACTTATCCTCGAACTAGCCCCGACTGAGCGTTAGGTCGGAGGCAACCCCTTGGAAATCTTCGTGGGAACGTTTGACATTGAACCGGGAGGCCTGGATTTGGGCCAGATTGAACGGGATTGCGCGGAATTGCACGGGAGTCTGCCGGTTCTGGACCACGGATGTGCCAGCGTCGATGCTGCATTTCACTTCCCTCAAGGTCGGGTGCGATGGGATGGCTGGGAGGTCGGGGCGATGTATGAAGGATGAGCGGGTGGCCGGGGTACAAGTAGGGAAGCGGCGCGAGCACGCGGGGAGGCCGGAACGAGGGTGTGCGCGTGCGCACAATCGGGCTGCTGCGGGGCAAGCGGGGGACGGAATGGGGAAGGCGGGGCGGCGACGAAGGGCAGCCGAGAACGCGCCCGTGAGAGGCGGACCGAGGAGGGACTGCAGACTAAGAACGTCGAGAACACGATACGTTGACGCTGTGAGGACAGCGGTGCGTGCCAGCAATTTGATCTCGCAGAGCGTCTGGTGACAGCGGCGGCATTGCCTCGATCTGCCTGCTGCGGGCTGAAAGATATGTGCACGACTTGGCTGGTCCACGGTCGGGCCATGTGGGGGGGGGATTGGAGGAAGGTGAGGCGTAGAAGCTCTCGACAGAAGTGGTGTGGTAAAGTCATCGTCAACCGTGGCAACTTTGGAGGGCACGAGACTCACCGACTCTGGATGCATGCAAAATCGCCGACACAATTGCTGCTGCCATGCCGTCCGAATAAAATGGCATGCGCGCTGCGTGCAAACACTCGATCTGAAGTGATCAATCATCCCAGACACCTCTCATTTCGCTATCTCAAGACAGCCAATGACGGTGGTCAGCTCGTTGCAGCAATGACATCTCCGCCACCGTGCCTCTGGGCACGGAGTGGGCCTGACCTCGGGCCCTTTGCCTGATCCCTGGGGCCTCAGTCCTCGGTCCTGAGAAGTCCGTATGGAGTCCCCAAGAGGGCCCGAAGACGGACCAAGAGGGCCCCACAAGGCCCCAAGACGGTCCAAGAACGTTCCAAGACGCCCACGGTGACCCCAAGATGGCCGAAGAGGCTTCCAACATGCTCCAAGAGGCCTCCCAAGAGGGCCCCACGAGGCAAACATCATAATTTTTAAATATCATATTTTGGCATTCTCGCCTTTGCGGCTTTCGGACGCTCCAAGACGGCGCAAGAAGCCCCCAAGACCACACCAAAACGGCACAAGAGGCCTCCAAGAAGGCTCCAAGACGGTTTAAGAGCGCCCCAAGACGGCACAAGAGGCGCCCAAGACGGCCGAAGAGGGCCCCAAGACGGCCCCCAAAGAGGCCCAACAAAGGGAACACAAACAGAATATCCGAGCCTTCTGCTCCAAGAGGCCCCAGGGAGGCCCTAATTAAGAGGCGCCCAGCAGGCCCCAAGAGGCCCCCAAGAGGCCCGAATCAGTCCCCAAGAGGCCCAAATGAGACACCAATACTGTCCCCAAGATGCCTCCAAACTGTCCCAAGAGGCCTCCCACGAGACCCTACGAAACCCAACCCAAAAATCCAGGCACGGTGGGGGGATGGGCCGAAGGCCATTCGATTACATGGCACCCTGCATATTTTTCCCAAACCAGTGCTGGCACTGAGGGGCTTGAATTGAAAAGCAGATGGGCTTCGCAACAGTGTGCAGTAGCCTGCGTGACTGTGGCTTCTTGGGTGCCTGTGGATTCTTACTTTCTGTCGACCGCTCGGGTTCGTATGTATTGCTCTGGCTCTGACTGGCTTTGGCGCACTTCGCGGTGGCCGCTTGGATTCCTGAGATTTCTGACTTTCTGGAGACCGTTTGGGTTTCTAGGGGTTTCCCATTTCATCGAACGCATCAGGACCCCTGTGGTCCACGCAGAGGCATCATCACATGTGTACATCATCTGTACGTCCGACTCCGCCGGCCCTCCTGGCGGGTGCCATCAGGCTGCGATGGCTGGGTTTCAGCAGCTGTGCAACTTAGCGCAATGAGGCAGGTCGCGACGCTGCAAAATTTCTAGGAGCTCGCCAGCTTGGCAACCGTAGCCTGCCATTCACCGTTTGGCAGAATATAGAACTGCACAAATTCCCACGAGGTGGGATTCGAAATTTCTGAAAACGAGTGCGACACCCGTCGGCCCCAAGCCGCTGAATTTCCACGCCGGAGCCACGTGTCCTCAACTCATGGGCGCCCTGGGGCAAATAACAAGATCCTAATCTGCGCCCCGGGGGGCCACGATCCCTTGGATAAAACATGAGTCCACATTACCGCGGCTACGATCCCTCGAAATAATCGGCGGATGCGCGCTCCAGAGGTCATGACCTCTGGTAGACATCCATGGGTCCATGCTGCCGAAGCCATTGTCCTTCGTGAATGCGTTGATCCGCACTTCCGACGCCACGGTACTTCGTAGAACAAGCTGTGGATACGCAATCCCAAGTCCACGACCCCTAGCAATAAAAGCAAACAAACTGACGGTCATTCAGCACTCTTGAGGCCACGATCTCTCGTAAGAACATCGGGGCACCGAGCTGCCAAGGCCAAGGACCTCAGTAACAGCTGTGGGCCCGCGCTCTCGACGCCACGACCCTTCGTAAAGAACTGTGGATACGCGCTCTCGAGGCCGCAATTGAAATATGACACCAGGAAAAAACAAATAAGGGGATGGGTTGATCTTTGTACATATATATATATGTATATCTATACATAGATATATATGTATAGACAAATCTTCACATCTATATATATACATAGATATGTGTGTCAATGCTGTGCGCACGCATCTGTATACGCAAATATGAACAAACATATCCACTCCATATCAACACTACTCCCTGTGGCATGTATGTATACATGCATGCATGCATGCATGTATATATATATATATATATATATATACATCTGTAGATGTGTATGGCGACCCCTGGCAACAAAAACCGGAACCCAAGAACCCAACCGCCCACCGACACCAATGCGGAACCTAGAAACAAACACCTGGAACTCAGAACCGGGAACCCAACCGCCCACCGAGACCAATCTGGAACCCAGAAACGGGAACCCGGAACCCAAAACCAAAAACTCAAAAACCTGGACGCCTACCGAAAACGGCGGCGAACTTTCGCCAAGACCAATCCGGAACCTGGAAAGGAGATTCCAGAACCCAGAACCGGGAACCAGGCCGCCTACCGAAATCGGCGGCAAACTTTCGCCACATCTTTCAATATCAAGTACCCAGCCAGCCTTTCAACCAGCCCTTCAGCCAACCAACCATATAACCTGCCAACCGTCCGCCAAGCAAGCAGCCGATAGAACCGTCCTACGTGGGGTCCGAGTAGATGGGGTCGGAGGATTGCACCGCATCGCCGATGCATCATCGGCGATGCATCGTCGACGTTGGAGGTGCATCGGCGACGCCGGCGCGGAGAAGCTCGGGCTCCACATCGAGCTGCTCGCCGATGCATCGGCGATGCGACGCGATCCTTTGACCCCATCTACTTGGGGGCGGCCAAGAGGGGGGTGTCCAAGAGGGGGGGGGTGCAAATCATGGCCGGCGGCATGTGTGCGGCCCAGGGAAGGGGGCTGGGAACGTTTTGAAACAAGAAGAGGCGCCATGAAACCTGGAGAGATATCATGGCCCCCGCCATGATATCCACGCCCCCCTAGTCATCACCCCCTCTTGGCCGCCCCCGATCTGCTTGAACCCGAGCCAATTCGACCCGCCAGCCCAATCGACCGGGCCACGCCTGCAATCAGAGGGGGGGGGGCCTGCGGCGGCAGACGACGAAGCCCTCCAGCCACACGTGCGGACAGAGATACGTGCGACCATCACCGCCCAGACCAGATGTCATGTGCATGCCGCAGGAGGCTCAGGCGAATGAGCATGCGTACGCTCTGATGAGCAACAACCTCCTCATCAGGGCTGAACCTAAACGGTGTTTTTCCTTTTCGTTTTGTTTTCGTTTTCCCTCGCTTTTGTCTCGCATCCGCCTGTTCCGCAAAACGAAGTCGAAACGAAAACGGCCCACGAAATCGCCAAAATCACCGTTCAGGTCCAGCCCTGCTCCTCATCCTCGTCCTCGTCCTCCTCCCTCCGTTCTCGCGGGCGAGGAGCGCCACGCTCGGGCCCGGGCGCCACGCTCCGGGAGGGGTGAGAGGACGCCAGCAGAAGAGGAGTCTACGTCGGCCGAACCCACACTGCATCGAGACAAAATTTGAGGGCTCTGCCCTGAGCTGAAAGCAGCCAGGAACCAGGACCCTCAGCAGCTACCTCCCCGGCTCACTCACTGGTTTGCTGGCTTGGCCTCTCCCTTCATTCTGTCCGCCTCCTCCTCTCGAAGCTGCTGCGGCTACTCACTTTCTCTGCCCCTGGGCCCGTCGTGCGTTTGGCGGCGGCGGGGGCATGCGGTCCTCGCGCGCGCAGGAGTTGCAAGTTTGTTCGCAACTGCTCCTGAGGGGGCGCGCGGATCCCGCCGCAGTGCGGCGGGGAAACTGATCGGCAATGACCAATGTCGCACCACAGACGGAGGATGGGTCTGACTTCGGCTATCACTTCAGACCACGAACCCATTGCACAACTCCTGCACAAACTCTGGCGAATTCGGGATCGCGGCTGGCTTCGCGGCTAAAACCTCCCTGCGACTTCCCACACAACGACCTACGAATGCGACGCACGGGTTTGGTGATGATTACGCACTGTCCATGCCACCGCGGGCGCAACTTGCTGACCCTTCCTGGTTCCCGGGTGTCTTGCTGAGTAGCGTTCCGTGCCAGGGCTTGGGGTAGCGTCGATGACCTCTTATTGACGACCAACTGTATGCAACAAGCGCGCACAAGTTAGCCAGAACACGCCGTCCGAACCATTCGTCTACCCTGTTGCAATGCTACAGTGGTGCAGTCGATGTTGTGCAAGCTACGTGACGTATGCGAACTATGCGGTGCACACTGTTTTGTAAACTGCGTGGTGCAAACAAGGTATTGCAAACTATGAAATGTAACCTATGCGGTGCAAACTGGATGATGTACGCCAAGCGGGTGCAAGCTATGTGGTGCAAGCTGTGCGGTGCAATGTCTGTGGTGCACGCTGTGTGGTGTCAGCCCTTGTGGTGCCAACTCTGTGGTACAAACTACGGTCTGCGGCGACGTGCGCGTGGTAGTACCTGTCTTTGCAAAACTGTGTGATGCAACCTGGTTGACGCAAACTCCATGGTGCAAGCTGTGCCGTCCGCCTGCAGGTGCCCACGGCTGGCCACCGGACGAGGCCCTGGACGAGGCCCTGCAGGACCCATCCAACGCACCGGGTGCCCAGCGAGGGGCCCACGGGCGGGCACCCGGCGAAAACCCGGCGGAACCACCCAGCGCGCGGGGCACCCACGGGCGGCCACCAACCAGGCACCAAGCGAAACCCCGACGGACGGACCAGGCGAAATCTTGGCGGACCCGTCCAATTCCTATAGGCGACCGAGAAAAAACTTCTAATCCCACCAGCCCTGTGGGAATAGGTGATTGAGAGTTTCCTCTTCAACCCCTTTTCTTCCCCTTCGGGGAGGGGTTTCTCACTGTTCCCTATGAATAAACACCCCCTCCCCCAGGCGAGTGGGAGCCAACCGGGGACAATGCGGGCACTCCCCTCCATCCCTTTGACAACAATACAAACACACACTCTGCCTCCAAATTCGGAGCATGCGCAGCCAACCCGATGCGGGCTCACCCCACCATCCTTGTCAAAAAACAATACAAAATACACTTGGCGGCGGCGGCGGCGGCTGCGGCGGCGGCGGCGGCGGGCGGCGCGGCGGCGGCGGCGTGGAAACGGCGGCGGCTGCGGCGGCGGCGGCGGGCGGCGCGGCGGCGGCGGCGGCGGCGTGGGACCAGCGGCGGCGGGCAACGGCGGCGGCGGCGGCGGCGGCGGCGGTGGCTGCGGCAGCTGCGGCGGCGGCGGCGGAGGCGACGGCGGCGGCGGATTGATCCCCAGTAGCTGCCCATCCAAAAACGACTGCTGAATATGCTGAGGCTCGGGCCAGACTCGGGTGGTACATCTGTGTTGGGAGGGCGGGTGGGAGTGAACGAGACGGCTTGCGGGCGGGGAGGGAGTGTTGACCCCTCCCCCCTACCCCTCTCCTTGGACCTGCACGGGGGGTTCGCGAGCGGTCAGGCGGTACTTTTTCGCCCAAGACGGCTCTAAGAGCGCCTCAAAGAACCCAGAATGACCTCCGAGATGGTTTACGATAGCGCAAAATGTCCCGAGATGGCTTCCAAGATGGTCCAAGAGGCCGTCGAGACCTCCATGGAGGCCTCCAACAAGCCAAAATCGTTCAAAAACCTGGGGGCAACCAGTGATTTTGGCATCGTCGCCCGATCGCTTCCGATAGCCTTCCGAAGCCTGAAGATGGCCGAAAAAGGGCCCCAAGAGAGGCCCAAGAGAGCTTCAAGGCGGCCTCAAGGCGGCCCCAAGAGCGCCCCAAAAGGGGTCCAGGAGGGGATTCTCGGAGCTCCCGAGGGGCAGCGCGAATTGCGACCATCCCCTTTTTGATCGATATCCTCAAAGATGGCCCCAAGAGCGCCTCGAAAGCTCCCAAAAACGCCCCAAGAGGGCTCCAAGATGGCGCCAAGAGGCGCCAAGGAGGCCCCAAGAGGCGCCCAAAAGGCTTCCAAGAGGCTCCCGAGAGGCACCAAGAGGCTCCCCGGGGAACCCATGACGCCCCAAGATGCCTCCAGGACTGCTAAGAGGCCCCCAAGACGCTCCAAAAGGCTTCCAAAAGGCTTCCAAGAGACATCATAAGATATTATGAGAGGTAACTCGCCTTGGCATCGTTTCTGGATGGGCTGGTGAAGATACTTTTGGTACGCGGGCGCGCGACGCGAATCGAACGCCGTGCAAGCAAGGGCAGGCCGTGCCACAAGCTAAGGAGAAAACAAAGACCTAGCGGGGGTACTTTTTGTGGTCGCGAGCGCAAGCGGTGCAGCCGCGCGTTGTCAGATCGAAGCAACAAAGCAACAGCCTAAATTACGCACCGGAGCCGCAGGAGCGGGCTACGCTGCGGCTCTGGAAACGCGGAGGACCAGGATGAACCGCAGACCTGGCGGGGATATCGTTTTCTTTTCGCGAGCGTCGCGGTCCAAACGCCCGCCAACACAGAACGCGCAACTAACGAGCAGCGGGCTAAATTAGGCCCTCAGCAGCAGGAGCGGGCTACGCGGCCACTCAGGCGGCAAACGGGACGCTGAAGAACAGGTAGTTCAAGCCCGAGCCGGCGAGGACCAGGCGGACGGCCCCGAAACATGCCAAAATGGCGAATGGATTGGAATGTCGCTACATGTCAGCGGCGTGCCAGTTCCCGGCGATCGCGGAGAGCGACTCCAAGGCGGGGCGGATGCCGCGCGGGGGCGACAGCCAAGCCAGCGACCCAACGTAAGCGGCAGGCGCACTCTGCGTGCCACCTTCCACGCGGGGGGGGTGCGACCGTCAGCGTGGGCGCTGGGCCCGGTGAAAAAAAGGGCGCCCATCGTCCAAGGCGCGCCCAGTCGGCGAGGCAACCCGGCAGAGCGGACGGCGCGCCCGAGGGCGAGGCACCTGGTGGGGATACTTTTTTTTTGGTCGCGGCCGCGAGCGAAGAGCGCAAGCGGCGAGAGAAGTTGTCCGGGCCGACGGGCAAACCTAATTAGCTACTGAAGACGCGCCGCAGGCCGGCGGGCCCACTCACCAAGCAGCAGCGAGGCTGCGCGGGAGGCTGGCAGCTGGGGGCATCCAGGGAAGCTCAGGCACGTGCAGTCTGACAAAATGCAGAAAAAATCGGTGCATGCCGTGAGGCATAACCCACGCAGACGACGCGGGAACGTGCACGAAGGCGTCGACGTGTCCATCCTGCTGGGTGGGCGTTCAGGCGAGAAGAACGATGGGCGAGTCGCCAGTGGGGCGCCAGGCCCAGGGCCGCCCCAACGGCGTGTGCGGGCTAGGGGCGTCGCAAACCTGCCTGAAGAGGGGGATGAGTCGCGACTGCAGAAGGCTAAACCACTCCGGCGCGACCACAGTACCCAAAGGGCCATCGTCCCGTGCCCGTGGGAGGCCCGGACGTGGGCCGGCCCCTCCAACAACGGCGCAGAGCCGACGCCAGATGGACTGTAGGAGAAAGCCAGGCTGGCGCGGTGAACATCGCAAGCGAGGCAGGGGAATCCAAGGAGGGCGCTGCGTGAGGCCAAGCTGGTGGGAAAGAAAATCGCCAGCAAGGTGGGGCGTCCAGGGTGGAACTGCACGGCAGCTGCCGCCTGATGTACGCCGAAGGCCACCGTGGGACAGCCTTATCCGCCGAATCCGTCATTCCCCGCAGGGAACCAGGGTGTCCGCCGAATCCGTCATTCCCCGCAGGGAACCAGGGTGTCCGTCGAATCCGTCATTCCACGCGGGAGTCCAGGGTCGCAGCTAGCCGCCGCTGAAGGTGAGGTAAAGTTACCGCTGTCAGCGGGGGCCCGCCCTGGGGCGCGGGGGCGATCGACTCCGAGACCAGGATTCTAGCCTGGCGGCAGCCCAGCCTGGGGGAGACACAATGAGAGGGCCGGTGGAGACAGACATCACCGACCCCCCACGCGGAGGTGCCCCCAAGAAGTGGACGAGGCCAGAGCCCGGCCCGAGAGGGACCCGAGGAGAGAGGCGGTGGGGACAGAAATCGCCGAACATCGAACGGATCCCAGGTGCACCTGGCCGGGGGACACGGCCGCCATTCCCCGAGGGGCATCCAGGGTCGCAGCTAACCGCCGCTGAGAGTAAGGTAATACCGAACGGTCGATCTTTTCGTCCACTACTGGTGTGGTCCAGGGTGGGCAGTCTGGAGCCAGTGGACTGGCTCGCTGAGGGCAGTGCTGCCGCCTCGAAGGCCGACGCATCCATGGGGTGTGTGTGGTGGTGCATCCAGGGTCGCAGCTAACCGCTGCCGGAGTGTCGAGAGGAGGTCTCGTGCCCGTAGCCTCAGCTGCTCCCCGCGTGGATCCGAGGTCGCTGCAAACCGCCGCTCTGGGTTGAGTGAAGACGGAACACCCGCGGAGGGCGGCGGCAGACGGCCCGGCCGTCAGACAGCACAGGGATGCAAGAGTACCCTGAGCCCCCGGGGGAGGTCTCGTGCCCGTAGTCTCTGCTACTCCCCGCATGGATCCAGGGTCGCGGCTAACCGCCGCTCGGGGTAGAGTGAGGGCGGAGCGACCGCGGAGGGGGGCGGCAGAAGGCCCTTGGCAGACAGCACCGGGATGCACGAGTACCTTGAGCTCCCGCAGGAGGACTCGTGCCCGAAGTCTCGGCAAATCCCCGCATGGATCCAGGGACGCGGCTAACCGCCGCTCTGGGTTGAGTGAAGACGGCGCGTGCACGGAGGTGGCGGCAGACGGCCCATGGCCGACAGCACCGGGATGCAAGAGTACCTTGAGCTCCCGCGGGAGGCCTCGTGCCCGAAGTCTCTGCTG